AGAAAAAATTCTAGAATTTAATCAGGATATATAATAATTAAATCTCTCTCTTTCATTAGAAAAACTACATAAAACGTTTAAACGCTACACTTTTACTGCTTGTTATACAATATTTTTCATTTTTTACTAATGATAGATTATATTATAAAGATGTGTACTACGATTACATTGATAAGAAATATATTTTAGATCGCTGAAATGGAGATTTCTATAAAGGATGTTCTTGCACCTTACAGCGATTTGTCGTTAAGCAAAGAAAAAATATGGAACACGTTTATAGTTGAAAATGAAAATCTACTAAATGAACATGAAAAAATGGTAGACGAAATCAACGCAGTTTTTCAGTAAGAATCCGACATAGATCTGGATTTTAAAAGGATATTAAATAAATATTCGACTCAAAATGTTTTTTTAAATTTTTTATTTTTTATTACTACTAATTATTCTACGAGTATAACGAAATTAATAGATTTGTTTACGATGTCAATGTAGGAAATGGACATCTGTTTTAGAAAATATTTTAACAACACAAGACCGATTCTTTGCTTGTCGTATTGATTTATACAAAATTCGAGGTAATTAATCATAAAATATATGCGTTTTATGACTCATTCATAATTGTTTACTTTGTTTTTGTTTAGAACAACGTCATAAAATAAAAATCGAAGTATATGACGATAATATGAATGTAATTGTTCCGGACAAAGAAAAACAATTGTACCGTAAAGTTAGTCAACTTGAAACGAAATTGTTGGAAGCTTACAGAAATGTAACGTTAAGCAAGAAAACTCTAAATGAAATACTTGTTAAGAGCTTAAAGTTCAAAAACGACATAAAAAAAAAATTTGAAGTAACTAATAAATATTACAGTAGTATTTAAAAATGTTTAGTTGTGTTATAAAATAATAATTTTGAAACTCTACTTTTGTAATAATTGTCCTTGAGATTAGCACTTCATGTAATAAATTCTTTTATAAAAATATTAGAAAATACGAAATTCCATTGGAGTAATTAAACTTACATTATTGAAATTATTACAGGTTTGTTAATAATATTATTAATGATAATATTTTGATTTTGTTATTGTAAGTCTGATGCGTAAATTTGAGTGAATTATATTATATTTTGTGAAACATGATTTGTACACGAACTTGTAATAGACATTTAAAACTTGTCTTTTATCTAAAAATATAACTTAATTTTTTGTAAAATATTCGATTAATCATGAAAAACGGCTATATTATTCATCGCGCGTCACTATTTTTAATCAATCACCGAACATAAACCGACAAATAATTTGGGCTGAGAGGTGTTAAACGATATTCTTCCATTTTTAATCAATCGGTGTGTGGCGAATTTATACTCATAGATTACAATGATATTTATTGTTAACATTTTTTTCATTCGGATATATTACTCTTATAAATTGTAGTATACTATTAGGACATTTAAATACATCTACATTCTAGTATCTTTATTATCATTATCTTTTAGTATTAAAAGTTAAGTGGAAAAACTCAAAGCCTGCGGTTCAAAACTCATTTAGTTTAAGGAAATTAAGCATTGGTCTGGAAAAAAGGTTCATTTTAAATGGTATCTACTTAAAATAGAAATTCATTTAATGTCAACAGGAATATGTTAACATCCAAAAGCGAAAAGAAAGAAGGGAGAAAATGAAAGCGTCGATGAGCGTGAGAATCGCAAAGAGTGTGAGAAGTTTTGGACCATCAATGTCTAGATACTTAGGTATGTCCAAAAGTAATCTACTGAAAAAGCAATCAATATCAGATGAAGATGGTTTATCAGTTGTGAGTGTATATAAATATATTTTAAAATTTTTATTATAACTTTTTTTTTTAAGGAATTTGATGCTGTATCTACAATTTAAATGTTAATGAAAGTCTCAAAAGTTTCAAGCACATGATATATACATATAAAAAAAATCTAAATTGAATTTTTAAAAAACTGTACATAGTATTTTAATGAAAAAAATTTAGTTCTTATGTTATATTTCATGTTGTACACGACCATGATTTCATTGTTTTAGGTATATTTTTTTGTCTAGTTAATTTTATTGATTTTTATCTTCAGTTCAAAGATACTAAGGTATTAATTTTACTATAATGTATTTATATACATATTGTTTTTTTGTCTGTCACCACTTTTTTCAGGTCTCAAATTTATTGAACAATACATTAAAAAAATCAAAAATCTTTTTAAAGACTCATAAAAATTGAAAAAAAGTCCCTTTTTTCCAATCAATGGGAAAATCCCCAAAAATTACTATTTTAAAAATCGGTAAATTTTGAAATTTTAAAAATTATTTTTATTTTAAACTGTTGTAACTTATTTAAAATAAGGAAATAAAAATAATTTTTTTATGCACCATAGATATTTTCTATTTTTTGCAAATCTATCACTCTACAGTGTGGACAGGTCACAATAGAGTTTCAAAATAAAAATGTTTGCATAAAAAATTAACTTTTTTAGCTCAAGTTTTGAAAATACTCCGCCCTTTAATTATACATACTATGATTTAAAAAAAAGTTTGTCCCGACACCTTAAGTTTTACATGCAAATGGCCTCCGTAGTTAAAACATATTATTTCTGCAATAAAATTTTCGTTTTTATATTTCCAATTTTATATTGTTATAACTTTTTAAAAAATGTATGGATTAAAAA